TGCTGGCAGATCTGCTGACCTGCACGGGTGACATGGTCTTCCACGCGCCCAGGCAATTGGGGCTTTTGCTGGCATGGAATGCAGCAGTAGAAAGAAGGACCAGGCAGGAGAGTCCCATGTCCCCATCTTATTGCTATCCTCCCTCTCTGTGTCCAAGACACTCAGAAGTCAGGAGCCCTCCCTGTGGGGCACTTCCAGAAAAAACACTCACCTCCACAGTCTCCATCACACTTTCCTTCATGCGTTCGCCCTCTCATTCATCCCAGGTAGACTGATGGCTCCGTGTTTTGTGTTGAGCCCTGTTTTAGGCATTGAGAGTACCACAGTGATGAAGACAGAAAAAGTCACAGCCATTATGGAATTTACATTCCAGTCTCTGTGTCCAGAGACAGAGCAAAGGGGAATGGCTTCTGCCACATAGCTCTCAGAAGCCTGCAGGGAAATGGGCTTGGTCCCGTGACATTGATCAGGGGAGAAAGTTTCCGGGGAAGGTGAACCCACCTTTCAATCCCATTTTAAACCTGAAGGTTTTGTGCAAAAAGGAAGATAAGGTCCTCAGATGGTGAATGCCTGACTGGGGAGCAGCCACCCAGGGTGCCACCAGAGGCTATCATTACCATTGTTTCTCTCTGCGTAATTAAAGGTGCTGTTAATGACCTGGTTAAGGGATCTTTTCCAAACCCTTTTTTTTGCCTTGGCAGCATCCCTTGAAATGTAGCACATGCTGCCAACAGAATCCGAGCCACCCTGTAAGAGACCTAGCCAGCTCTCAGGGGGCACTTGGGGCTGCAACCTGGGTCTGGCTTAGAACAGAATTAATTTCAACACAGAAGTCAGAGAATAACGTTGAAAAAAACCCCATATCAGAGCTTCCATTGCCATTATAAGCCCTTGGAAGTGCTATCTTTCCTTCCTCCTCTCCAACACATTCATCTAAGCAGTATTTTAACAGATCAAAAAGAGGGATGGCCACCTGATCCCTCGGCCTGAACAGATGGAAATGCAAGAGCTCAGACTCCTGTCCCTGACATTTCCCAGACAGGGAGGTGTCCCGGGTGAGGCGATTCTCCCTAGCTTTCTCAGTGCTCTCTCCCCTTGATGTGGAAGGCCAGGCATGGCAGTTTTCTTTGGGAAGTACCATCTGTGCTTCAAAAGCCCTGACATCTGAGGCCAACTGCTCCCAGCCTCCCTCGGCTGTGGGTGCTGGGATGGGAACCCTTCCTGCTACAGATCCTCTTTGCTGCCTGCACAGAGAGGCAAAGCAGAAGAGGAAAAGATGTCATTAGGCGTCTTCACTCCCTGTGCTTCCATTCTGAAGAACAGGGGCAAATGATCTTTAGTCCCAGAAAGGACATCTTGCATTCCAACTCCTTTTCTGCTGACATGGTAACAGAAAAGCTCAGAAAGGGGTAAGTGTGATTTGCCAGAGGTCTTGCAGCTAACTGGTGGCAAAGCAGACCCCATGATAGTAACAACAGCTAGCATGACTGAGCTGCTAACCCGTGCTATGCATTCTTCTGAACACCTTTCATGCTTTACCTTGCTTTGCCCTCACAACACAACCATGCTTTGAAGTATTTTTATTCCCCTCCCTCCCATTTTACAGATGGGGAAAACTGAGGCACAAATAAGGATGGAATGGTAGAATCCACATTCAAATAGAGGCCTCAGGACTCCAAAGCCCACACTCTAAGCCACAGAGCCTCTCATTCCTGAGCTGAGGCTCATCTAGCTGGCTATCTGGTGTTGCCACTTCCTCAGAACTGTGAAGGCTCCCCCAGTTTGGAACACAGCCAGAGTCATCACGCTCTGCAGTGTTCCAGCTGGGATTTTAGTGGAAGTCATCATCTCTCTGGCATTTTCCATGGTCTCTGTTAGATCCACTAGTGTGACACTGGTGACTTTGGAATTCTCATACCCTGGACAGAGTATTTCCTCAAACATCCCAGCTAAGAAGCCAGCTTTACGTTTTTGTTTCATGCGTATGTAAGTAAGGTCAAGGGAAGTAAGAATCTCTGGTCTTTGGGCTGGTGCTTTCTGGGAAGGTTCTAAACATTCTAAGTTAGGCTAATGGCATCAGTTGGAGCCCCTATAGAAGAATCCCCCCTGGGGTCATGGGGAGCTGGGGACCCTCCACTCCAAGCCTTAGTGTCTAAATGAGGACTTGCCCTGGGCACAGTTGGTTCTGTAGTTAATCCCCTGTGGTCAGACTCACTCTCCTTCCCAAACTCATTTTCTCCAGTGAATAGGGACCAAACTAAAAACCGTTTTTTCCCCGCAGATATTTTTCATGTCTTATGTTTAATCCATATCCTAGAGGTCCCATCCTGAGGTCTCATGCCTAACCAGTGAAAGGACCTGCAGAGATAGTCTGAGTTTGGTCTCATCCCTGACTCTTTACTCTATGAGGGAGATCTGGATAAACATTGAAATAACCCCGGCTGCCTGGACCCAGCAGGCGTGGGATGTGGTTCTGAGCAGGCCATTGTATTGTATTTCCATTTGGGGCCATAACATCCACATTTGAAAAAGCAACCCTGTGTTTGAGATTCTTCCCTCACTTTGAGATAGTAGTCAAAGCACAAAAATGTCACTAAAATGAATTTCCTTGTGGTCAAGCTTTTATTTGAGCACCAGAGAAAGTGATTAAGATTCTCGGTGACAATTCTGTTGAATAGTGGGTTGTGTTACTAATGGATATGTTTATCTATATCCATATCTAATGGATATGTCTGGTTAAGTTACTAATGGATATGTTTACCTATATCCATATCTAATGGATACATCTGGTTAAGTTACTAATGGATATGTTTATATCCATATCTAATGGATACGTCTGGTTAAGGTACTA